TCTGGGTTGCTGCCTTGTCCTGCCTTCTGCAGCTCTGGCTCCTCCCTCCCAGAGGTGGGAGTGGGGGGTACCCAATCTGGACAGGCCCAGAGTAGCCAGCTATTGCAGGTTTGAAGAGGCTTGGGTTAGAAACCCAAACAGTTCCTAGAACCCAGCCAAATACTAACACATCCCTAAGGCCCTGAGGAGATGGCCGATGATGTAGCTGCAGAAAGGTTGGGAAGTCTGCACCCTAGGACTCCGAGCAGTGAGGTTGAGAAGAAAAACTGCACTTGCCCCTTTCATTCTTGCCATGGTCCACCCTGTCTTCACTGGGACTCTGCCCCAGCCCCTTCCTCCTGTTCCAGACACCCCTGCAGCCCCTGCCCTGCCCCCTGGTAATTCCCTCCCAGGCCTGGCTTTCCTTTCCAGGGACCCTTGAGCCTTCCAGTACCAATTTCTGCGGCTGCTTTGTGGTAGAGGGACTCTGCAGACTCCCTTCTCTTGAAACCCCACCCTGCAGCCTCCCCCAGTTTTGCCTCATCTCCCTTCCCCTCTTTACGCTCGGAGGGGTGCGTCCACCCAGTATTGCCTCTCACCCTGGACCTGCCTCTCTTCGCTGATCCCTCTCCGTTTCACCCAACCCCCTGCCTCTGCCAGGAACCCCGGTGACCGTTGGCGGGAGGGGCCCGGGACTTGGGAAGGGGATACCCCCAGGAGGTGCGCGTGGGAAGGAGCAGGGAGCTGGCGCGAGTGGTCCCCCAGCCGGTTGCCTGGGTAACACGGGCCTGGCACGCGTGGCTCCCTTGGGCGGGCCTGGAGGGGCGGGGGCAGCGCGTGCGGCAGCCGAGCCGAGCGCAGGGGAGGGGACGGGAGAGGAGGGGAAGAGCAGAGCGACCTGAGAGGAGGGGATGAGCAGAGCGGAGGGAAGACCCGCCGCCTCCCTCCCTCGCTCGCTCGCTGACTCGCTCCCTCCCGGGCTGCGGCTGCTGCAACAGCGGCGGCAGCGGCGGGAGCAGTCTGGAGGCCGGCGTTGAGGTGAGACGGATGGACTGAGGCTGCGGGTAGGAGTGGACAGACTGCAGAGGCCGGGGAGGGCTGTACCGCACAGGAATACGGGCGCATGGCCTCTTGGCTGGTGGTGCAAGGCGCGCCAAGCCAAAGGAAGGAGGCGCCGGGGGCACCCCGGGGACAAGGGAATCCCTGGGAGAGGGGCTGAGAAGGGGCTCAGAGGAGAGGCCCAGGACCCTCAGGGAGGAGCGGGGGCATCTGCGCCCCAAACACGCAACAAGAAAACCGCACCCACTGGCGCCCAAGTAGGGGAGGACGCGGGAGTGGAATGTGAGTGCGGGCCTCTGCCTAGTCTGCCTGTCGGAGTGTATGGGTGTCTGCAGAGCTTGGTTTTGAGGTGCTGGGGCATCTGCTAGGACCTGGGAGGCTGGATCTTGTTGGGGGTGCCCAGGAAAAGACCATGGGGAGGGTCCCGCTTACAAAGGGTTAACCTTCCCAGGGCTCTCCAAGCAGAAGAATTTGAGCGGAGCACTCCTCCCCAGAGACGTCCCACCCCAAGGCAAAGGAAACCCCAACTTTTCTTCCTCTCCCCAGAGGCAGCCCAGGGCTGGCCCCGAGACAGGAGCACAACCCTCTTAGGCTGCAGTGCTGAGAGCTGCCTCTTTCCTCCTCACACCGAGCTCATCTCCTCCTCTTCCAGGATTTGCTGCTGTCTCTGCTGCTCCGTCCTCCCCACAGAGGCCCTCTCCTCTCTCCCATCACAAGATGGCAGCCAGCAGCTCTGAAGCCTCTGAGATAAAGGGGATAGAGGAGGGTCCCCAGACCCAGGGAGAAGGGCCTGGCCATTCTGAGGCTGGAACTGGCCCTCTCCAGGCCCCAGCTGGGGTCCCGGATGAGCCCGAGGCCCTGCAGCCAGGTCCAGACATCACTGTGGACCCTGTGGACTCAGAGCCCAAGGCTGGGCTAGCTCCAGAAAACACAGAGACCCCAACAGGGGCCCCCGACACAGCCCAGGCCAAAGACCTTAGCTCAAGCCCAGGAGGGGAACCACAAGCCCACTCCAGGCCCAAAGAAGTATGCCAAGAGCCAGCATCCAAGCCAGAAATGAGCAAAGAGGCCACTGCAGACCAGGGGTCGGACCTGGAATCTGCGGGCCCGCGTGAGCCAGCCTCACAGCCCACACCCCAGCGGGACCTCCAGTCAGGTTCCCAGCCCACTCCCAAGCCAGCCCTGCAGCCAGAGCCCCCTACCCAGGAGGACCCCACCCCTGAGTTCTTGACTGAGAGTGTGGAGGACAAGCAGGAGAACGGGGCAGTCGTTCCCCTGCAGGCTGGCGATGGGGACGAGGGTCCGGCCCCCCAGCCTCACTCATCACCCTCAACAAAAGCCCCCCCAGCCAATGGGGCTCCTCCCCGGGTGCTGCAGCAGCTGGTTGAGGAGGACCGAGTAGGAAGGGCTCACAGTGGGCATCCAGGATCTCCCCGAGGTAGCCTGAGCCGCCACCCCAGCTCCCAGCTAGCAGGATCTGGGGTAGAGGGGGGTGAGGGCACCCAGAAACCTCGCGACTACATCATCCTCGCCATCCTGTCCTGCTTCTGCCCCATGTGGCCTGTCAACATTGTGGCCTTCGCTTATGCCGTTATGGTGAGCCCCCCCGAGACCCTGGCCCCAGCCTGCTGCAGCTCCCCACGACCTGCACTGGGACAAAGCCCCAGGAATAGCCTGGCTTTCCCTCTCTGCATGGATCTCGCTTCCAAAGTACAGGGCTTCACCCTCCAAGCCACTACTGCCCCACCCCGTCAGGTGGGAGGGATGGCCAGACAGGTTTCGCACAACCTTGCTGACCTATGCCCTCCTCCCTCTGTCTCTCCATCTCTCCTTCCTCCCTAACCACGGGCTGGCCTGTCTCCTCTGGATGGCTCTCTCACCTGATCCGTGCTGAGCTGGCTTCTCTTGACCTGGCCATGATGCCCCACTCCTCACCCTAATCTCAGTCCCGGAACAGTCTGCAGCAGGGGGATGTGGATGGGGCCCAGCGTCTGGGTCGAGTGGCGAAGCTCTTAAGCATCGTGGCGCTGGTCGGGGGGGTCCTCATCATCATCGCCTCCTGTGTCATCAACTTAGGCGGTGAGTGGGGGTCTGGGACAGGCTGGGAGGCATGGAAGGGTTGGCAAGGGCAGCTTTACTAACCCCCTGACCCTGCTCTCTCCTGTCTGTCTCCCCTACTTGTCCTTTGTCTCTCCTTGTCTCCCCCACCCCACCCCCACCCACTGTCTCTTTCTCTGTCTGTCCCTCCCTCTCCTCTTCCACAGTGTATAAGTGAGGGGCTCTGCCCTGCATTCCAAGACTTTTCTTCCTGTTGGGAGCTGTCTTGGGCCCATCCTCCCCTGCTCCCCTGCCGGGAGCCCAGTCGATGGCCCAGGCCCGCACCCATAGGGACCAAGGGAGCCTGAGCAGCCTTGTTTACAGCTTTCCTGGCCCTGCATCTTGCCAGGCTCCTCTGCCAACCGTAGGCCTCCCTTCTCCCTGCACTGTTTCCAGTCTCCCTGCACTTCTGCCTGCAGCCAGTCCAGCCTCTCAGCCTCTCTATCCCTGCACTTCTGGAAACCTCCCTCAACATCTCCCAAACTCTCAGCCTCCCTGCATTTCTCCCATCTTGCACTTCTTCAAACCTCCCAAATTACCTGCACTTCAAACCTGGTCTCCACCCCCAACTTTCATTGTCTTGCCATCTTCCCCCATTCCTTTCTTCCTCCTCTCCTGTATCATCTCTCCGTCCCTCTCCACACCCTCTTCCCTGTTCCTCTCCCTGCCTCATCTCCCCTCAGCATCCTTTCCTCCCCTAAGGATCCTCTCCTCTGGTTTTTCTGCTGTCACTGATTATTCTGCAAAAACTCCAGCACTTAGAGCAGGCTGGGAAAGGGCAGCAATGTCGGGAGAGGACCCTGTAGCCCAGGGCTGTTCTCTGCCGGGAAGACCCAGGTCCGGATGCCTCCAGGGCGCCCCGGGGTCGCAGAGCTGGCCGGCCGGGCTCCCTTGGGGACTTGTGCGGGCGAGGTGAGCGCAGTTCAAACACCCGGGAGGAGGGAGGTGCAGCTATTGCCCCGCCCCGGTCGGCCCTAATTGACTGACCTGCCCCACCTGGGCTTTTAAACCCAGTCGGCCAGTGTCTTCAAGGCAAAGACTGGGGTGACTCACGTGCTTCGTAACGTAAGAACCCCCAAATAGGACCAAAGCTACAGCCTCGAGGAGCGAGGGAGGGACGGGGCGCCGTATAATGATTTTCTAAGAGGAGGGAAGTGTGTTGCACGCGACATTCCGCTAGGGAGGCAGACACCGAGCTACAACGCGGTTTGGAGTTAGCGGGTTTTTTGTTTTCTGAAAAAAAGAAAAGAAAAAAGAAAAAAAACCTAAAAGTCTACCAAAAAAAAAAGGATACATTAAACTAATTCTCCCTTTTTGTATGCCGGATGCTGCATGAGTCTGAAACACCAATAAATGGAGCCTGCATGAAACTCGCTTCCGGCCTCAGTTGGTCCTCACGTTGGTCCGCCACCGGGTGCGCAAGCTCTGCCCCGCGGGGGGCGAACCT